TTCCGCCGCCCCCCGCTTGGAGAGAGACAGTGACCCGTGCCTCTAAATGTGTGTTGTTGCAAACAATGAAGTTTTCGGACCGTGGTCCTCTCTCCTCCTCCCCCTCCCCCGTCTGTTATGTGGTCGGTGGGCGGGGAGGGCGGGGGCGGCGCAAAGTCAGGTGGCGCCGCTCTGACATAACACGTTATGCTTGTGTTCTCCGCTCAAGTTCCCCCCCCCTCCCTTCCCTTCTTTCGCCCCCCGTTCACTTACCTCGTCGCAGCTCTGAGGGGGCCTGATACGGGGTCTGCTTCCAATATCTGTGATTTGGTGGTGGTGCAGACCCCGCCGCCACCTTCTGCCGCCGCTCTCGGCGGCATCGTGTCCACGGTTCAGGCAGAAAATAGAGAGTTCAGTTTAGGCTGGCGCCACCTTCCGCCGCCCCCCGCTTGGAGAGAGACAGTGACCCGTGCCTCTAAAGCCTGCGTTGTATGCCCTGCGGCGTTTGGAAGCAGGCTGCATGCGGGCTGTCGCCAAAGTGGCCGACGATGCACGACTTGAACAGGGGCGGCTGCGCAAAGGCAGCGATAGCGGCGTGCTACGCCGAGCTCCCGCCAACACGCTCGTGTTAAACTCACCTTCGCATCATCATCGCCATCTCATGTATATCCTCCTCCCTGCTCCGCTCCCGTTGCTCCTCCCATGATACCCCCCCCCCCCCCGCCCACCGCCCACCCTTCCCTCACTTAGTGACGTGCGCCAGGGCAGCTCCGAGGACATGCTGGAGGAGGCCCGATCGGGGCCGCTCGCATCTCTCTTTCTCATCTGCGTGCCGCCAACGACGGCCATGCGACGCGCCAGTTTCGTTTTGTTGCCCCCCCCCCCCCCCGCGCACACTTCTTCAACTCCTCCTGTTCGCGTGCCTTTGAAATCCGCCGGCGAGATTATCTTGCCGGCGGGCTTGCGCGATGCTCGCACGGAACAACGCGCATCCCCTACATTGCAGCCTAAATCGCTGAGCAGCTGACAGCGCGAGCGAGGGGTGGAAACGGACGGGGTGGAACGGACAATCCGAGCCTTGACCTCATGCCTTAACTTGCAGCATGGTTGCAGCACCGAATGGAGCAACCAAGTGGCAAGCGAATGATAGGAAAGCATGCGCATGTGCGTAAATATACGTGTTGAGACAGTATAAGGCTAAACGAACATATTGGGGTGCGATCTGATAGGCGCTGCAAACCGAAAGTTGCAAAACGGAGTGCTAGCGGGAAAAGGAGAACGTCTGTAGCTAGAGAGGGGACAGGGGAATGACACTTATCGCTGGCAGCGCCTGGGACACATACGAGACTGAATGCGGAAATCAGCTGTGCCAGTGCGCATCGGGGACTGCTGCTGCGTAGATCCTATAGCAGCCGCTGGCTCTGGCATATGGCGCCACAACTGAGATCGATCAGCTATCGCCCGACGCAGCTGGAGCACGATGTCCAACTCGCGCGTCGAGTTGACTCTCAAAAAAATCGATCGCCGCAAACCGGCAATTTGGATCAGCGATCGATCAGCGATCGATCAGCGATCGGCTGAAACGATCAGCGATCGGATATGCATTGAAATCATATATATACATGGTTTCATAGGGGGCTCAGCGATCGATCAGCGATCGATCAGCGATCGACCAGCAATGTTTTTTTTTACAGTGTGTATTTTTTTTGGAATCGCTGATAACTTTCAGTTCCAACACGAAAGCCGAACCGCGTGGCTGCTATTCGCCCCGTTTAGATCTATCCGCAGTGTGAACGACCTCAGTTGAGACGCCAATTCGAACATCTTACAGACATTCGCCAGCAGCTTCTGAAATGCAAGACGGAGGTCCGTATCCTCTCGAAACTATCAGGGCGGGATCCACTGCGCTCGCTCGCTGGCAGGCTGACCGGCACCCGCAGGCCCCACAGCTGGGGACTCGCTCAAGCAGACTGCCCTCGTTGCAAACGCTGGTGCTCGCTTAAGGTCCCGAAATTGGCTCATGTCTCCCCAGGTCCCGAAACTCGATGCTGGGCGAATATTGGGGTCGATGGGGGTCTGCATGGCTTTAGCTCGAACGGCGGCTGCTCTGACTAGCGCTCTTGCCCATCGCGTTGCCGCCGCTGATGCTCTCGTGCACTGCGAGGGCCCCCTTGGCACGGGAGGCCAACTTCTCGATCGACTCCTCGCGAGCGGACGGGGGCGCAAGTCGCGTTGATCGACATGGCAAGGGCGACGACGACTGGGGAAAGAGGCCGTGCACACGCGACAGGGACGCGGCAGAAGGAGGAGGGGGGGGGGGAGGAGGAGGAGGAGGGGGGGGGAGGAGGGGGAAGGAAGAGAAAGGAGGAGGGCAAGAAGGAGCAGGGGGAGGAGAATGGATGGCTGGATGAGGTGGAGGAGGAGGACCCATGATGGAAGGAGGAGGACGAATTGAGGGATGAGGGATCGAGAGAGAGGGCGCATGCCCCCTCCCACCCCCCTGCAGGCCACAGTCCTCGAGCTCTTTGAGGCCCGCGGGCTGCGCGATGATCTGCGAATCGCTGAGCTTCTTCTTGATCTGGGGGGGGGGGGGAGGTGGAGTAGGAGGACTCAGTTGGAGAAGGATAACGAGTTTGGAGAGAAGGAGCACGGTGCCGGGGACGACGGATAACGGCAGGACGAATAATCAGGGCAAGGGGGAGAAGGAGGGGCCAGCAGCAGAAGCAGGGGGTTGGATGAGCAATGAGGCGGGGAGGACGTGGAGGAGGGATGGGGGAGAAGGAGGGGGGGGGGGGGCGGAGGGGGAGGAGGCTGGCGGAGGAGGAGGATATTGAAGTGGCGAAGTTCACGTGTGAGCCCCAACCGCAGACGGTGCGAAGCCGCTCTTCAACATCTTGGACAGCTCGACGTCGCCGAGCTTGGACTCCATGGCGTCGACTATCTTATCCAGCTTGCCTTTCACGTTGGCCGAATCTGCCCATTTCCATTCGGTGTGCTTCTTCACATCGTCGAGGATGCTCTTGGCACTCGATATTCCCTTCTTCGCAACCTCGACAATCTTCCTGGCAAGCGTCATAGCCTTCAGGGCGGGGGACTTCTCAGGTTTTGGAGTTTTTTGCCGTCGGACTTTGCTGATTAACCACGGCGGCGCTTGCCTTTCTTGCCTTTCTTGTCCTTCTCAGCGTTGCGGTTATTGTCATATTTGTCGTCCTTGTCACATGTCTTGTCCTCCTTGCCTTTCTTGCCCTTCTTGGCGTGCTTGGCTTTCTTGGCCGCTGTCCGACCAGCTCCCTTGCCTTTCGTGTCGGGGGTCGTGGCCTTCGCATCCTCGATCTCCTCCAAGCGCTTACTCTGAGTGGTGATATCCTGCCACTGCTTCGCGAACGTCTCACGGTAAATAAGTTCGAACCACCTGAATTTGATGTTGCTAGGGCACTGCGGATCCACTTGGCAGAATGTGTGTATGTGGTTGAAGTACAAGGGTACAGAACCCCTGATCCTGTTTGGTAGAGAGAAAAAAAAAGAAAAAAAAAAAAAAAAAAAAAAAAAAAAAAAAAAAAAGAAAAAAATGAAAAAAATAGAAAAAAAAAACAAAAAAAAAAATAAAAAAAAATAAACACAAAAAAAAAAAAAAAAAAAAAAAAAAACAAAAAAAAAAAAAAAGAACAAAAAAAAAATACAAAAAAAAAAACAAAAAAAAAAAAAAAAAAAAAACAAAAAAAAAAAAAAAAAAAAAAAAACAAAAAAAAGGGGGATAGGTTGGAATTCTCTTTCCCTCCTGCACGATCAAAGGTCTGATCGATCTATCTCAATACCTGAGCCCAAACGGCCAGGCGCAGGAGAGGTAAGGATAAGGAGTAAATATGAGGGTATTACACGGGTTCCATTCACACCCCCCGTCCCGAATCCCGCCCGTGAAGGCAGGACTCGGGAACAGAGGAAGGGAATCCGTAACCTCTGAACTCCTTTAGTCCTTAAGTCAGGAGGCAGCTGGGCTTAAAATCAGCGAAGCCACAGCTGCAAAGTGAAGTTAGAAGGAGCACCCTGAGTCCCCCTTTCTTCGCCAGGCACGCTGTGGTGCCCCCTCGGTGCGCCCCCCAAAACGCTTCGGCACTCGAGGGCGGAGAAGAATGAGACAAGGGTGGGCGGAGAAAGAAGATCTGAGCGTTAAAGCAACATGCAAACTGCCTCGCTTCTGCGAGGCAGGTGTTGCCACCAGCTATCAGATTATTCTCGACGCAATCAGGTTTAAACTGTTAAAATATGCATGCTAAGATCGTGTTGGCGAACGCGATCTTGAAATGAAACACATCTTTGTGTGAAAGCAAATGTCTGGCCAGACAGAATGTCGTGTTGATGAACACGAAAACTCATGTGTATAAATTCTGTTTGGCGACTCCCGTTGGCGTTGCTCCTTAGGAGGCTGCCTCGGTGATCGCAAAAGGTATTTGTGTGTGTGTGGCCACTTGTGTTATGAAATGAAGTGGCCTAAAAGTATGTAATAGCCACCGCTCAAGGCGAACTTTGGTTATCGAAGTTCATGCCTTTGAGCGGTGGGCCTTGCGGCCGACTCACTACGTGTTGCCGTTATTGTAGAACCTGCGGTCCCACATCCTCTGGCCGCTGTATGTCGCGTAGCTCGTCGTGAATGTTTCCCTAGCCGTTCTCGGGATCCAGTTGCGAAAACAATCATTGTACGTGATGTCCTGGATGTATACGTACTCATCGTTGTTGATCGCGATGTAGATCCAACAGTTGATGTAGTAACTCCAGTACCTGAGGCCCCAGTAGCTGTCCTCGAGGTCGTCGCGCCAATACGCGGCGTAATCTGATGTGCGCGCTCTCTTGGCACGCGGCCCCGCGGGCGTGTAGTCCGTCGCGCCTGAGGCGCTGGACGCAGCAGCATCGCCAGGAGCAGGGCGCGGCGGCGGCCGCGGATGGCCCGGCTCCATGGCATCATCGGACTGGTGGGATTGTGTATCGGGATCGGTTCTCATCCCTGTATCAACCCCCCTCTGGTCGGTATGTGCCGGATCGAGGGAGCCTAACAACTCATTGGCAATCGCGGCAAGCTTACGCTGAGTGAACTGTTCGCGGGTTCCGTCCCTTCTAGGGAGAGAAACCGTGACCAGTCCGCGAGCCTGCCGCGTCTGCCTGTCGAGGCGCCCCTCGTTCAGCCACCATTTCCTCCGACCAGCCTGTCCTGTCCTAATACTGACGTCGAGGATGTCCCACGCATCACGCATGTCCTCCACGGTCCAGGGCCTCTTGCCGATGTTCACGCGGGCACCTGTCATTTGGTGGTGGAACTTGAGGTCGTTGAGAAAGCGTTGTACGAGATTGGCGAATGGGTAGTACAGAGGTCGGTCGTCCTCGGCTTCGCCCATCAGTCTGCACTCGTGTGCAGCAGGGCTACCTGATTCGACCCACTTCTGATACCTCTTTCTGGACGCATTGGCCAATCTCCGCAACTGATCTTTCTCATTGCCTGCGTGCGATCGCGCACCCGTCATAATGACGTGCGCACCGTCCTTCATGTATCTCGCGATGTGGTCCTCAGAGAGTGTCGTCTTGATCCAGTTCGTCAGCTTCTGGAGGTGCGCGAGATCGCTCTGCGTGGCGGTGCTCTTACCCGTGGCGCCTACGGCCACGGTATACTGCCAACAGATATCACAAAGTGTGCCGTCACCTGTGACAATCCCAAGGGACAGATCTCGACCGCAATTCTGACAGAGCGGTATGGGATGCAAGATCGTCTCGGGGGCCCCTTCCGACGTGAGGTGATCGCGGGATCCCCAGCGGGTGTCCTGACCGCGAGCGAGGCTCTGGCCGATCTGATTGATCGCCTCGCGATTGGTCTCGGTGTTCGGTCGGGAAGCTATTGATCTACTTAAACCCTCGATCTCGATCCTAGACAATCTTTCCCCTGGCAGCCCTTTGTACTCTATCTTGGTGTTGTCCGTATCCTCGGCACCGCCATGGCATACGTTCTCTTCACGAAGACGGCGAGCTTTCTCCTGCAAGGTAGCCTCGTTGTCGCCCTCCTCGCGCTTGAGTCCCGTCTGCTCGGCTATGATACGTACCATGGTTTCCTGATCGGGAGCTGCAGACGCAACGCTGCCTGGATCCTGGGGAATATCCTGCTCAGCGCCTTGCTCACGAGGCGCAGCAGGTGTTTCCACCAGCTCTTTCCATACAGGAAAGTCTGGATTACCGTATGTCTCAGTACAATTTTTGAATAGGTCACGCAATGCCTGAAGTGCAGGATGGTTCTCATGGATGGCCTCTTTGGCGAAGTCTGGAAGCTCCGCGATTCTATCTTTCAAGATGTTCTGGTATACTTTGGAGATCCATTGAAAGATGCCTGTGGTCGACTCCTCGATAGTCTCTGGGTCGAGGTAATGTACCAACTTTTTGAAGAAATGATCTGCACTGCAATTTGGTAAGTCACGTGCCCATTTGTGGGTACGATTGTAGTTCAATTGGTATGATTCCGCATTCCATGCTTTCGATCCAAATCGAATCTCCTATTGTAAAGGTGACTGTGTTTTGTCCATTACAATTCTGTCCGCGCCACTGTGTATCTCGATGATCTGTTTCATCTTGATCATAGGCGAATCCACCAGCAGCTCCGATGTCCAACAATATACACGGCAGTCATCTGACTGTTTAATCCATCTTGAATCCTCGTCGGGGTCGTAATCTGGATGGTTAAGGAAGTCCGATGGCGGGTCGATGATGTTGTCGAGGATGCTTGCCTCAATCTGCTCATCTGCTTGGATGTCTGCCAAGAGATCTGCTCTCATGTTGTCGTTCGCAGCTTTCTCATCAGCAGCGAGCGTTATGTTCGATATGTCCACGATTACGGTGATCAAAGGATCACGCGATGATGCTGCAGTCTGTCGAGGATTGTCGCCCGTATGAGCGTTGTCCTCGGCAGGTGTGGCCACCAGCTCGTCTGGATCGGGTGTCCGAGGAGCGGGCCTTCTGGGCGGTGTACGCGGAATACGTGGTCTATGAATGCTCGGCATACCAAGGTATGGTAAACTGCCATCAGTCTTGTGCTGGAGTATCTTTTCGCTGCATGATGTCGGACCTTTCAGGACGGTCTCCATATATGTTGGGTCAATGGCGTGTTCTTCGATACGAATCGGTAATGCAAAGACAACGCCCTTGAGGGGCATGCTTTTGTCATTATACCATATGTTTACCCATCGTAAACCATAGTTGAGAATAGGTACTTGCACCGCAAAGAACTTGTCGAAGATGCCGAAATGGATGATTGGACCATATATGTGTCCCTTGGTCAAGGCAATTTTGGCATTGTGATTGCCCTTGGGCCAGTGATGGTCGTAATGAAAGCATTTGGTAGAACCCCAATTCTTGACGACAATGAAGTCTCCCATTCGAACATCATTAAATGCAGGGCGACGGTCCCAATCTTTTTGCGTGATCTTCGATGTGATCGGTCGAAGAGCTTCGCGACAGTATGACAAGGCAATTAACCATTCTTTACCATCTGCTTTGTGATTGGTCTCCCGAATCATAGCGCGGACTATTTGTTCATCCAAGGCGTCGTCTGCAGATGTACGGCTAGCAGGGGTTTCCCCCAGCTGAACCGAAGGTGCTGATGCTGACGTTGTCCTTGGAGGCTCCATGTTCTGGTCGGGGTTGACAGGTGCTATCCCAGGAGGGTCGTCGATGAGCTCTCCAGGAAGGTAGGCGCAAATCCCGTACTTGCTCAATGGCTGTCTTGCTGCCAACGGCGGGTGGTCCCATGGGTCGCCATCTGGCCATAACTGCTGGCCATGCATGTGGTGTGGTTTGAGGCGGCGAATTGCAATAATTGCCGCAGCGGGTACCACGTCCTCTGTCATGATAGCGCCCTGAGCACCCAACCAAAATCTGCAACCTGCTTTTGTGACGATCTCCATGTTGATCACCAGCTCGACCTCGTTCTTGTAGTTATTGAACTTGTATGATTCCACTGAAGTGCGTGGATTCTTTTGGACATTGTTCAAATATGTGCTAGAACTAAAGAATGCCTCAGAGCGCTGTGATGGTTTATGATGTTTG